GGGTAGGAGGCAGCCTTAAGTGATAGAGAAGGGTGAGGTAGTGGGCTGGCGTGGGAGGAAAGGCCTGATGGATCTCCCCAAGGGCCCTCAGGTGCATTGCTGAAGAATGGCAGTGTCATATAAAAGGCATTGAAGGGCAGATTATAGCTGCCGATGTCAGTAGTGCAATATAGAATTGGAGGATGGTTTACCTAAATGGAGGGGTTGGGTAAGAATGGGGCAGCATTAACTCTAGGGAAACTTGGAGGACTCTCTGAATTACTAGGAAGGTGTGAGTGGTGTGATGTGATGATCTCATTTTTCTGCAATCACAATCAAGGTGAGATAAAATATTTGACCATTGTGTTTTCCTTCCACGTATTGCCATGGGTGGCTATATAGATAATGGGCAAAAGTAAGAATTGGTGTTAGAGGGGGTGTAGAATTTGATCCAGGGAAACAGTTTGGCTGGAAGGAGATTTGGGGCTGAGACACAAGTGCTTTTCATTGAAGATCTTTTTGTGGCTTTCTCTGTGAAAAAGATACGAAGACATATTGGGGGTGGAAACAAACTTGTACACATGTCAAAGCAATGTCATTAACTAGATAGCATTTTAGTAAACAAGGGACATGTCTCAGTGAGTTGGATAAAATCCATGACATGAAACTGGCTTAACTGAGGTGTGGATTCCCCTGAGATCAAAGGTAGAATGTCTCATTTCCCATTTTCTGGAGTAGGTCTGCTGGGCCCCAGTGAGCAAACTAGAACAATATATGGCAAGTATGGCTGCTGCAATAGGAAAAGAAGTGACATTACTTGAGTATGTACTGTGTGCCAGCCACAATACTGGGGACTCATTGATTGATTTGTCCCCTTTGCTTGATTAAAAAGCTTCATTAGTTCAGCTAACATGTATAGAGCCCCGCTGTGTGCTGGACAGTGCTGCTGTCCTACTTTCTCCTCTGTTTCTGGGTCATCATTGTTTTGTGGATAGAGAGCATGCTCTGCTTTTCTGGTAATCCTGGTATGTATGTCCTAGGGTCTACTCCTTCCAGGATGGGGTTCTGTGTGGTGGGGTCCTTCATGCTATTAGGTGGACCTGGCTTCCTACCAACTTGCCTTCTCAGTCACAACCAGCTTGGTGAGAGTGCCTTACAATCAACAGCCACAAGTTTCATTGTAAGAAAAGGGGTTGATGAAAAAAAAATGAAAAGTTCTTGTTAGGTAAGAAAGGAGGGGAGGCCTGGAGCTGTGATGGAGAACTAGGTCAGGGGCTGGAACTGTAGACTGAGTAAGTAGCTTGGAATAATAATTTACAAAGAAATGCCTTGGAGGGAGATATTGAGCAAGTAGCTTCTTCTGTTGGGTGCCTATAAGCCTCCTGTCCCACCTTCCCTTGGAGCCACTGAAGCTGCGCGATTCATGAAGCAGGATCTGTGCTCTGGGTTGGATGTGCTGGGGTAGTGGGCAGTGTAGGGACTGGGCACCAACGATGGCAAATCTTTGACTTTGGGGCTGCCCTTCTAGACAGCTAGTCTCTAGCATCTTGTTGACTGTCCATTCTGTTGAGATTATTGCATTCCTATGGAGTTTCACTTCCTCAACCAGCCTGAACCCAGCAGCAGGGGCTGGAGAGAAGGGCTTTTTGTTTGTTTGCTTTAGTTATTGTTTTTTAAAACTCAAACACTTGGTTTTAATTCCAGGACAGTGTGAGCCAGATGGTATGAGGGCTTGGTAGTTCTGTTTAGCCAATTCTGTGAATCTTTGGGAAGGAGAGATGAACCTCCAAACCAAACTCACTGCCGTCAAGTAGGTCCAACTCAAAGCGACCCCTCCTTGGGTTTCCAAGGCAGTGTCACTACTGAAGTAGATTGCCCACCCTTCCTTCTGAGGAGTGGCTGGGGGGTTTGAACTGCCACCCTTCTGGTTATCAGTCAAATGCCTTAGGTAGTATACTACCAGAGCTCCCAAAAGGGCATCTACCTGGCCTGGGATGGAAACCCCAAATTGAGGATGGGACAGAAACTTGAGATGGTTTCCCAGGTGGGATCTTTAGGGAACAGGTACTTGAAAGGCTGTGAAGACTTAAAACATCTCTTACACTCACATGTACATGTCAGGGAAATCTACATTCCAAAGCAAAACCCATAGAGATGATGTTAGAACCACAGACTTATTATCCAAGTGACAACTCTGTGCTGGGGAGATGGAGGTTTGATGTCAAGGTAAATAGGACCTCAGCTCTTCCCTGCAGATAAACAGGGACACCACTCCTTGTCACACAAGGAGGTCTGTGATGTGACTCTAAGGGAGGTGCACATGCTGCTAAGGGAAGACAGCAGGGACAAACTAATTTCAACTGGGAGAATCTGGGGTGAGAATCCACACCTGACTCAGAGTTTAATTTATTTCTCATAGGCTAACCAATTAATCCCTCTCTCCTGAAAACTGGGCACTTACTATTCAGTCCAGGCCAGGGGTATGCTCTTGAAGACTTGAGGGCTGAGCATTTGGAATTCTGGCCTTGCCAGCAGCTTGTGGAGAGAAAAAACGAGGAGCAGAAAGATTTTGTTCTACAGCATCTGTGTTCTGTTCTCAGGGACAGCAAAGCATAAAAACTCTTTACACCAATAGGCTAATATCCTTGTGGGGCAAAGGGAAACCAGGATACATGCTTTCATTTTATAGAAGAAGAAATTAAGAATTGTGGTGGAAATCAGTGGCAAAAAAAAAAAAAAAAGAGGCACAGCCTGAACTACAATTTTAACTTCCATTTTACTCCCTTAGAGAACACAAAGCTTATTTTAAAAAAGCATATTGAGATCATACAAAAGGGAAAATTAAAGAAATATGAAAATAAAATATAATATTGTAGAATATCCAAGTTGCATGAATACTATGCTTCACATTTTGAGAGAAGAGCAAGACTCTTAGTCTTCATAGTAGAAAGAGTGGGAAGGGAACCAGCAGGAAGACAGAATTATACAGCAGTAACTCATGCAGACTGAGTGGCCAGCATACCTGGAGCACAGTAGATGCTTGGTTAATGTCCATTCTTTTCTTTCCCAGAGGGATTAAGACCCTCAGAAGCTGGCATGGCCTCAGCACAGTCATAACAGAGTAATGGACAATTAGGGCGTTGTTCAGATATCCTTAGATAAGAATGCATTTGGCTTTGGATTGAAACTCTCGCCAAAGCTTTTTAGCTTTATTATTTATTTGCATGTATAATTATATAAACCAGATTGGGGGAAAAAAAAAATCAAGGAGGTCACATGATTTGCTTCCTTCAGCATGCACTTACACATTAAACATCTTGAAGAGCTCCCCATCCTTCAACCCTATACTCACCCCTGCCACGCAGTTACTGCATAGGACTGGAAACTTGAGGGTAGTGTTGGAAGTCAAATAGCATTTATAGAGTGTCTGCCATTAATTAGGAACTATGCTTAGCATGTTGTGTATATTATTTCATTCTGTTTTCATGACAGAAATATTCTGCTTTCTATTCCTCTTTTATAGATAAAGAAACTGGGGCTCAGAGAAGATTACAAATTATTCAAGGTTATTTAACTAAAATAAAATAATACTGGGACTTAAACTCAAAGTTTATGTTTTAGATTATTGCACACTAGTTTTGTACCAGCCATCTGGGAAATTTAAGTTTTGTAACTAATGGTTCCTATGTGAGGTAGATGGTTGTAAACATCAGAAAAGAGAATAACATGCCAAAGGTGAAAGAAAAAGGAGGTATATTTGCTTTGCCCCAGACAATAATGATCTTACATTAATATTGTGCTTCATAGTTTTTAAAGCACTTCAAGTAAATTTCCCATTTTACAGATAAGAATACAGAGCCTCAGAGTTTAATTCAAGTCATAGTCAGTAAATGACAAAACTGAGACTCAAACTCAGAACTTCTGATTTTAACTTCAATTCTAGTATTTCATAGTAACTTTCTCACATGTTTAGCTTCATGGACAAACGAAAGATTGTGGTTGGGTTTTGGGTAAATATTCTGTGCATTTGATGATTCTGGTCAGATATGCTACGTCTTTTGATATCATCCATCTCTGAATATCAGTGAAGACCCTGTCTTCCCAATTACTTAGCAGAATCACTGAGCAATACATGATTCCTAATTGACTGAATCAATGTAAGGTTGGATCTTGGATTTGTGTCATTGTTGACTGTAACCTTTTTTTTTTTTTTGGATGCCCAAGTCACATAAACCCAGGAAGAGGAACATTCTTGAACCCCCTCGTGCTCTGAGTTTTCATGTGGAAATGACAGAGTTGATAGGTTGACAGAGTTGACACAGGGAAGAAAGTTCTCATCTGCTCAGTGCCTGGCTTTTTTGTCTTCTTGGTGTTCCATGGGAAAGAAAGAACCAAGGTCAAAACAGCAACTTATTTACAGCATCTCAGATCAACTTCTTTCTGTAAGAGGTTGCCTGTTTCCTTACATCACTTTCATGCTCTGCAATACCTTTCTTCCACTTGTTGAAATTCTTCCTAGAGCAGAGGGGCAAGCAAAGAGGTCTCTAAGGCTGGTATCGAGGGGCTTCCACAGTCCCTAAACCCACCGTCACTTTCATCAGTTGCACCAGGGCAGCAAGACTGTACAGGCCCAAGTGGTGGCCAACCTCCTTTGAGTTGGTCCAGAACATGGAACAACATTCTGCAGAAGGTCTTTTTCAGGTTGAGAAAGCCCAATCCTGATCTGTTTTGATGATTTTACAAAATCCAAGCGCGTGACAGATGCCCAGGTAAATAGAAGTTTGCAATCAAAGCCAGTTCTGGGATGGAGCTGATTAGTAGATTTTTAATAGTTATTAGCTTGATAATCACTCACCAGGAGTAGCTTCCAGGCAGACCAAACCCATGCATAAGCACACCCACACCCATGTACACCAACACCTACTTGATGAGTATATAAGGGGACCCTGACAGTCTCCCAACAGCAGAGTCTCCAGCCTTAATTCTCAGGAACCTTTGACTTCTTTACTGAGCAAAGCATCATGAGTTGTCAGATCTCAAGCAAGTCTCGTGGAAGAGGAGGAGGAGGTGGAGGAGGATTCCGGGGTTTTAGCAGTGGTTCGGCTATGGTCTCCAGTGGGAGCCGGAGATCGGGCACCAGCTTCTCCTGCTTGAGCCGCCATGGTGGTGGTGGAGGGGGCTTCGGTGGAGGCGGCTTTGGCAGCCGGAGTCTTGTTGGCCTTGGAGGAACCAAGAGCATCTCCATTAGTGTGGCTGGAGGAGGTGGAAGCTTTGGCTCCAGTGGTGGATTTGGTGGCAGAGGAGGTGGCTTTGGAGGAGGCAGCAGCTTTGGAGGAGGCAGAGGCTTTGGAGGAGGCAGCGGCTTTGGAGGTGGTGGTTTTGGTGGAGGCAGCTTTGGCGGAGGCCGCTTTGGAGGTGGCGGTGGCTTTGGAGGCTTTGGGGGGCCTGGTGGTTTCGGGCCTGGAGGATTCCCTGGTGGAGGCATCCATGAAGTCTCCATCAACAAAAGTCTCCTGCAGCCTCTCAATGTGAAAGTTGACCCAGAGATTCAGAATGTGAAGTCTCAGGAGCGGGAGCAGATCAAAACACTCAACAACAAGTTTGCCTCATTCATTGACAAGGTGAGTCAGGAGAAGTTGGCTCCTTCTGCTGCTCAGGATGCCTTGCTTCCAGTGTTGATCAAAAAGAAAATAACATAGATTCATTTCATTTAGGAGTCATTGGTGTAGCAGTCAAGGGAATTTGCTATTCCCAAATGGAGAGATACTGGCCTTGTGCGCTACATTTTCTATAACAGCTGGCAGCTAGGAATTATATTGCTCCTTTAGCTTTATTGTTTCACTCCAAATAAATAATATTTATGGAAAAATCTGCAAGCTGTAAAAATAACTGATACAAGCAGTAATGGACCAACTAGCTCATGTTGTATAACAGCTGGTTTTGGAGGCTATTGATGAGACATTTTCGGAGAGCCTTTTCTTCCTTAGAAGTTATTACTCAATTAAATTCTGGAAAACTGAGCCTGACGTTCCTGCCTTCAAAAGAAGCATTCTCAGTTTTGTGCCCATAAACTAACTCTTTGTTGCTCTCACTTTGGAGTGTTATTGGGTTTTCTCCTATGTCAAGGCAGATAAACCTGTCTAAGAAATTTACAGGCTCTTAAAAACCTAGCCAAGGAGACCTGCCCTACAGTGCTCTCATACTCAGTAGCCCTAGGAGCAGTGCCAGCAAATTCCTGCTTTTGGTTTTCCTCAGCACTTATGGGATCTTTGCCGAGAATTCAGCTAGAATTGAGAAGGCAAAAGGGCTGGAGTCTTTGGAGCAGCTGGAAAACAAAAGCTGTGGGTGGTGAAGTAGGAAAGAAATTTCTCCACATGGAAAGGGCCAGATGTGTAGCATTAAGAGTCTGGAGAACTTTCCAAATGTGCAGGCATGGAGATCAGAATGTCTACCTTGTGTGATCTGGCACTCAGTTGGTCAGGATGGAGCCTCATAGATTCTCTAATTCTCAAAGCAAGACTAGAGCTGACTCTGGGCAGTGTGGCTTGCTGAGCTGATGGATGCTCCTTAGAACTCATGTGTTCTCCTGGTCTTGGCAGGTACGCTTCCTGGAGCAGCAGAACCAGGTGCTGCAGACAAAATGGGAGCTGCTGCAGCAAATAGATGTAGGCACTCACACATCTAACCTGGATCCCATCTTCCAAGCCTACATTGCCAAGCTGAAGACCTACGTGGATGGGCTCTCTGCAGAAAGGGCATCACAAGACTCTGAGCTGAACAACATGCAGGATCTTGTTGAGGATTTTAAGAAGAAGTAGGTGGCAGTGTAAACCCTGAAGCCATCCAAGCATTCTTCCAGAAAGCTACTGTCTCCCAATTGCACTTGTGGTGATTAAAAAGGAGAGGCTCTGTATCTTTGTGGATTATTTTTTAGGGTATTTAGATCCTTAGAGATTCTATTTTTGGTATGTTTGAGAGTTAATTGATAGAAAAATATCCTCACTTGGAATATCATAGTTTTAATATACACATTTAAAGTGTGTTCAATATTTCCAGAGATTGGGTATTTTGGGTGAAGCCAGGAGGAAAAGGTAAAAATTAAATAAAACAAAGAAAAAACTAAATCTCATCTAACTGCTGTTTCCTTTGGGTGCCAACAGATATGAGGATGAAATCAACAAGCGCACAGCTGCTGAAAATGATTTTGTGACACTTAAAAAGGTGAGAAAGAGATTGCCATTGCTGAGAGATAGGTCGTTGGGGGTGATTCAGAACCCCATGTGTCCAAATGGACAGGCTGGAAAACAGCTATGAGTGAAAGCAGCAGTAGCCAGAGAAAGGGGTGAGCCATGTCTGTGGGTGGTTCTTGTGAAATCAAGGTGTCTCTGTAGTTTAAGCTTATGGTGGTAATTTTCAAAGATGTTCTGCAAATTTGCTAGAGCATTTCCTTATTCATAACCTGTGTTGGATCATAAAAATTGCAAATGCAGAAAACACCTTATTCTTCTCCTAAAGAGCTGAGGAAGGAATGGGACTTCCTTATAATGACTTCTTAAACATGTTGTTGTGTAGACAAAATTTAGAGCTAGAAGACCAAAAGCATAGCTTATCAGCTTGGTTCCTACAAAGGCTATGGTGTATAATGCAGAGAAATTCAGGAGAGGTGGAATGGGTAGACAGGATGGGAGAGTTGAGGACTGTGGAAACACACAGAGGTCATTAACTGCAGTTAGTGGGGAAAACACAGTGTCTCAAGCAGGAGGGAGAGAAGCACTGACAAAGCTTGGACCCACCAGAGTTCTGATGATCATAGAGGGTGTGAGCAGCAGACATGGGCATGAAGCCTCAAACAGAAGTGCATCGTGGCCCCATAGGAGCATGGCTCACAAGAGGTGCCTGGGAGGGGTGGAGTAGAGTGGCCAAGAGAGGGTGGGGCCCATGTAGGGAATGATGCAGGTGAGGGGAGGTGACATGAGTTTCACCAGAGGCCTCTGATTATCCCTACAGGATGTGGACAATACTTACATGATCAAGGCGGAGCTGCAGGCCAAGGCGGATGTACTGAAAGACAACTTGGTGTTCCTGAAAACCCTCTATGATGCTGTAAGGAGGCTGATCCTGGATAGACCCTAGCTTCCCAACTCTTCCTTCCCAACTCACATGGAACGAGTGGGGTTCATAGATCAGCTAACTTCAACTTGCCATTATTTTAGGCCACTGAGGGGCATTTCTATAGCAAGGTCTTGGGGGAAAGGAACTTTCTCCTCTGATGTAAGAAGACGTAAGGCTCAGAAAACACCAGGACAACCTCCCTGCACTTCCCTTGACAAATATCAAGCTTCCTTTGGGAGAAGCCTGCTCTGTTCCCATTCCTATGCTCAATATACTCCAGGGGTCAAAATATATTATTATCCTCCTCCAACTCCAGCACATACATGTGATTTCTGAAACAAGAAGTAATTCTTTAGGCATTACCCATTGACTGGAGATGTTTATAACTGGTAGAAGGGTTAACTAGGAGACTTAGAAATACAGATACTCCTCCTCCTAGTTCTCAGGAAAACCTTGGCACAGGTCTAAAAATGGTGGTTATATTGTTTTTAATCCCACCCAGTGTATGCTTAATTTAAGAATCTGTATATTTGCCTAAACACCAGAGCAGGAGATGCCCCCTCCCAGACTTTGTAATGAGCAAGGGAGTCAAGGTCAGCCCTCCCTGTGTGCGTAGGAGCTGTCCCAGATGCAGCAGAGTATCACTGACACCAACGTCGTTCTGTCCATGGACAACAACCGCAACGTGGACCTGGACAGCATCATTGCCGAGGTCCGGACCCAGTACGAGGAGATCGCTCAGAAGAGCAAGGCCGAGGCCGAGGCTCTGTACCATAGCAAGGCAAGTACTGGGAGAGCAGACCCACAGCTTCTTACAACAAGCTGTGTTTTTACCTCCAGCTAGATAATGTACAGTAAAATTATTGGTGTTTTTGTCTAAAGTAAGTTGGGTATTATTCCCAGGAATGAGTTCACAAGACCCCAAATGCCCCCAAAGAGGCTTCAGGTCCTTATGGGGACACAAAATAGTCATTGACCTCCCAGAAATGCAACCATGACATTCAGCTTTGTTGATCCTCCCTGGACCAGTTGTCAGTCTCCCCTTGGCTCAAGGCAAAATTTCCCTCAAGCTGGAACCCACCTATGAACTACCCTCCTCCTCCCACATCAGTATGAAGAGCTCCAGGTGACTGCTGGGAAACATGGAGACAGCCTGAATGAGACTAAGATGGAGATCAGTGAGCTGAACCGCATGATCCAGAGACTGCAAGGGGAAATTGCCCATGTGAAGAAGCAGGTGAGGTCCTGCCCTTACATTGGTCCAGCTTCATGTGTTGAGGGGAGCGTGGGAGAAGTGGTGGAAGATTATGTATATGTGTGTGTTAGTGTGTTTGTGAGAGAAAAAGAGAATATGAATGTGTGAAAGAATGCATGAGAGTGTAAGAGTGTGAATGTATGTGTGTGTGTGTGTGTGTGTGTGTGTGATAGAGACAGAGACAGAGAGGAGAAACTGTGAGAAGTCTTAATCTAGAATTAGTGACCACAAACATATTAAGCTTAACATAATGTAAGGTTTATAACAATTTTTAGAATGATCTGAAAGACATAGTAACACAAAAGTTACTTTGGAAAAGAACTGTGTTTGCTTTTTGATTGTTCATATGAATGAAAGGGAACAATAATAAATAAAGCAAAATTTAATTTGACTTACTGTGAACTGCAGGATTAGCTTCCCTCATTTTGCTTCACATAGGCTCAAGCCCCAGTTTGGGGTATGGAAGGGCAGTAAATGTTGGAAGGAGTTGGCCTGGAGTGGGCTATTAGCTTTCCAATATATAACATGGGGGTAGAGAGACAACTCTATAGGCAACAGAATTTTTGTGAAGTAGTCAACATTGAATGTTTTCATTTGCAATTATAAAAATGGGATGATTCTGGCTCTGTGTCAAAGGAATTTTAGGGTCCAGTCAAAGGCAATAGGAAGAGATGAGCCATAGAGACAGCAGCAAGTCTTAGCACAGTTGCTTGTGAGCTGAATTAACTGCAAGGGGAAACTGACCAGCCCTGGGGCCAATGATACTGCCTTCCACACCCCAAACAACTCTGCTTCCTCTCCCCCTGGCCCTGTAGACTCAACACTCTCTGAACACATAGAAACCCTCCCTCCTTTTGTCATAGTGTAAGAGTGTGCAGGATGCCATCGCAGAAGCTGAGCAGAAGGGAGAACATGCCATCAAAGATGCCCAGCAAAAGCTCTCAGACCTGGAGGAGGCGCTGCAGCAGGCTAAGGAGGAGCTAGCTCGGCTGCTGCGTGACTACCAGGAGCTCATGAACGTCAAGCTGGCCCTGGATGTGGAGATCGCCACCTACCGCAAGCTGCTGGAGGGCGAGGAGTGCAGGTGAGGGACTGATGGGAGAGGAGAAGGGAGCATCCTGGACCCCCTTTCTTATCTTCCAGAAGCAGGGCAGGGAAACCAGGGGGTGGGGCAGGGCCTTCTGATAGCTGAGAGCTTACGTTCTCTGTATCTGCAAGCAGGTCAGGATACAGAGCATTATTATATTTATTGTTGTTGTTAATTGCCATTGAATTGATTCTGACTCTTGGTGACATCATGTTTGCAAAGTAGAAACTGCTCCATAGGGTTTTCAAGGCTGTGACCTTTCAGAAGCAGATCACCAGGCCTGTTCTCCAATATGTCTCTGGGTGGGTTCGAACTGCTGGCATTTTGTCTAGTAGTTGAGGATTTAACCTTTATTATATAAAAACGAAAACAGGAGGAGATGAGCCCTAGAGACAGCAGTAAATCTTTGCACAGTTGCTTGCCACCTGCATTAACTGCAAGGAGGACCTGACCACCCCTGGGGCCGGTGATTCTGATCTTCCACGCCCTAAATAAACTCTGCTCCCTCTTCCTCTGGCCCTGTATTTTATTATATAAAACCCAAAAAACCAAAAACTCACTGCCATGGAGTCGGTTCCAACTCATAGTGACCCCCATCTTGGGTTTCTGAGGCAGTAAATCTTTACAGAAGTAGATTGCCCAGTCTTCCTTTTGCGGAGCAGCTGGTGGGTTTGAACCGCTGACCTTCCAGTTGGTAGTCAAGTATCTTATCACTATGCCAGCAGAGCTCCTATTTCATAGGTTTATCAATATGGAAAGGCTAACAAGGCAATTAAATTAAGCAGTAATTTAAACAGCTTAGTCTTTTCTGAGAGAAAAAGAACAATGATGTGAAAACAGGTTAGTCCAGGAGGGTGTGAGACAATGGTCTCTAGATCCACAGGATAAGTGGCCTCTGTTCCCTCCACCTTATGACCCAGAACCAGACAGAACCAAGAACTGGGAGATGATGTGCTGAGTGGCTAGGACACACTCACCTGGAGCAGGTGCCAAAACTAACTCTTTGTAGGTTCTTAAAATGGCGAACAGAATGATTTGTTAATCATCAGGGAGGGAATAGTTTCTTTCCTCTGTGGTCTGAGAACTCTGTTGGTTTTATTAGCATCCCAGCGATTTAATCTAACTGGAGCACCTGGCAGGGGAAAAGCTTGCCTTGGCCATCAGCAAGATAGCATGAAAGAGAGGAAACAGCTTTCTTTGTGTTGTTGCTTTGGATCTGTCTGAGAAGCAAAGCCCTCTATACCTAATTTATAAGAGAAAGTGCAGAAAATTTTAGTTGAAACACAAGGAGTGGGGAGGGAAGCGGGAACAGGCAGGATGCGGAGTTGCCATTCTTTCTACAGTGAATTTTGAGTGTAGCCTCATTTGAAAATTTCTGGCAAACCAAGGATTCTGAATACAAGTCACTAAGATTTAAGACGGGTTTTGGTCATTTTGAATCAACAATATAACTGTTCATTTTTCTCTGAGCAAAAAATTGACATAAATGGAGATACAAGACCATACGTGATCAAGAAATATTATTAATCTGATAATAATAATTTATGGTTTGGAGTTATTCATTTATCCTAAAATATTTATGAAATGTCTTTGATGCATGGGGTACATAGTGCTAGGTGCTGAGGAACAATGGAAGGAAGACAGTTGTCTTTATAACATTCTTTTAGTTTATAAACATGCATTGCTTCCTTCCCAACTCTTTCTTACTGTCATATTCATCCCTTGCATGATAGATTAAATCAATTAAGATCAATGCAATATACTGTGGATTTATTTTTTAAAATAAGGCCCTTTACTACCACTGTCAATCACTCAGAGGGGGATCTATGTAGGAGATCCTGGATAGAGTGGGAGAACAATGGGGAACAAAACTCAAAAAGAAAAAAAAGGAACCAGGTTTGCTGGTTTGAGAGCCTGGTGGAACCCCTGAGACTATGGCCACTAGCTGCCCTTCAGGTCTAGAACTGAACCCATGCCTGTGGCTTCCAGCCAAACAAAAGACAGGCATATGAGCTGAACAATTACATTAGGTAGATACACTCCTCCGAGAGAGATGAATCATGGGAGAATAGAGGGGCTGTGTATGCACAGGTAGATGCTCAGGGAGCAGGAGTGCATGAGAGGGAAGGCCACAGGGAAGAAGTGGCTATGGGGAGGAAGTGGCAGGAGAACTGTTGTATTGTGGGAAATTTAGTCAATGTTATGAGACAAAATGTATGTGAACTACTGTATGGAAGATGAATTTGCTCTGTAATCTTTTACCCAAATCACAATAAAATTAAAAAAAAAAAAAAGATTATGCATGAATGTGGGGGCCCGTCCCCACCCTTGTGTAAGCAACAAAGCAGAAAGTGCAGTCTGCAGGGTCCTGGTGGTCAATTTTAGAGGTTAAACTGCATATTCGTAGGTGGTCCTTTTTAAATGACATACATACAGAGACTAAATGCACCACCACAAGTTACTTTCTTTCTGTTCCTTACAGGATGTCTGGAGACCTCAGCAGCAACGTGACTGTGTGTAAGTAGTAGAGAACCATCTTGTTTTATGGGGCAATGTGTGGGGTAGAGACAGGCATATGTATTCAGAACTCTTAACACATTCTTTCTCTGCAGCTGTAACAAGCAGCACCATTTCTTCAAACGCATCATCCAGGGCTGGCTATGGAGGCCATGGATCTGGAGGAAGAGGGTCCAGTTCTGGAGGAGGATACAGCTCTGGAAGTGGCAGTTACAGCTCTGGAGGCAGAGGGTCTAGCTCCAGAAGTGGCAGTGGAGGAGGCTATGGCTCTGGTGGTGGCTCCAGAGGAGGTTCTGGCTCTGGAGGAGGATACGGCTCTGGAGGTGGCTCCAGAGGGGGCTCTAGCTCTGGAGGAGGATATGGCTCCGGAAGTGGCTCTGGAGGAGGATACGGTTCCGGAAGTGGCAGTGGAGGCAGCTATGGCTCTGCTGGTGGCTCCAGAGGAGGTTCCGGCTCTAGAGGAGGCTCTGGTTCTGGAGGAGGCTCTAGCTCTGGAGGTGTATCCAGAGGAGGCTCTGGCTCTGGAGGGGGAGGTTCTAGCTCTGAAAAGGGTGGTGAAAGTTGTGGTTCTGGTGTGACCTTCTCTTTCAGATAAACATAGAGTCTCCCTCTCTGATTCTCCCACTAAGGAATGTAGAATCTGCCTCTGTAGCTCTAATTGACAGCTAGTCAAATTTTGTCATCCATCTCTGATGGCATTTTGGGGAAATGGATGCCCACTTATAATTTTGAAATATCTTCTCTCCAAACAAATTAGTTAGAACTAGTGACACCCACTGTCCCCTGGGGAAAAATCTTCCGGCCATGCCCCTTTCCCTGCCCCTTCTTGCCTCCTTGCATTGCCCATTTGGCAGTTCTTTTTCAGACATATATTTTATTGAGGACGCCAGGGCAGCCTGTTGATTTCATCTCCAAGCATGCATATTTTCCCTGGAAGTGTCCCATGGAAAACATGCTTCCAGTGTATATAGGTCTTCTTGCTGACTTTGCTGTCTAGTGTGTTGTGGTTTTGGTGTCTACACAATAAACTTCATTTGCAATTCATATCATGTGATGTCTGTTTAATGCCAAGCCTTGGCACAAGTGAGTATCCAGCAGCTATTATTCACCACTGTCTAATTTAAGACACCAGAAAATGGAGATTTTGGAACTGATACAAGAAGGACTTCCTGGATGAAGGATGTGTTAACTGAGAGAAGTTGGCTTGGAGAAGTCCAGCGTGTTTTCATCTGAAAGTCTCTAAAAACAAGAATGAAGGGAGCCTACTGGAGTCAGGGGATGGGTGTTCTCATGAAGTATTTGCCACACTTGGGGTCTGTGGTTATGCCAGGAGATGGGCATGGGGATTTGTGGAAAATTCTCTTTTCCAGAAAAAAGCACTCTTCTTGAGAAGCATTTTCCCACAGACTCACCCCACACCCTCATTTCCTGACAGGAGTTTTGGTCTGAGGTCCTTCTCAGCATGAACCAGTTGAGTCTCAGAGCACCCACCCAGGCTGTCTGAACCTCCAAAACACCATCCCCTCAGCCTGACATTGATCATGGGCCACTTCTGTGTCCCTCTAATCAGATGCTCCCTTTCAAGGCCCTCATCAAGGCTAAAAGGGAATCTCTGGGGAAGCACTTGGAGAATATAAAGGGTCTGCAAGATAAACAAGTTCTATTTTGACAGGAAGGAATCCTGGTGGTGCAATCGTTAAGCACTTGGCTACTAATCAAAACAGCAAAAGTTTGAAACCACCAGTGGCTCTGTGGAAGACTTGAAGATCTGCTCCCATAAAGCTTTCAGCCTAGGAAACACTGTGTTGTTCTCTGTTGTTAGGCGCTGTCGAGTCAGCTCTGACTCTTAGTGACCCTATGCATAACAGAATGAAATAATGCCTGGTCCTGCACCATCTCACAATCTTTGCTATGCTTGAGCCCATCGCCAAAGCTACTGTCAATACATCTTGCTGAGGGTCTTTCCCTCTTTCACTGACAACATGGTTACTCTTCTGACAACATGACCAAAGTGTGTGAGACAAAGTCTGACCATTCTCACTTCTAAGGAGTGTTCTGGCTGTACCTCTTCCAAGCCAGATTTGTTCATTCTTCTAGCAGTCCATAGTATTATTAGTGTTCTTCACCAACATGACAATTCTAATGCTTCAATTCTTCTTTGATCTTCCTTATTCATTGTCCAGCTTCACATGCATATGAGGCTATTGAAAATATGGTGGCTTGGCATAAGAATATTATCACTGACAGCATTGTACTTCAGGATAGATCTTGAAATGTTATTTTTGATGATGAATGCAACACCATTCCTCTTCAACTTGTCATTCCCAGCATAGTAGACCGTATGATTGCCTGATTGATTCAGAATGGCCAATACCTCATTAATGCCTAGGATTTTGATCTTTATTCATTCCATTTCATTTTTGACAACTTCCAATTTTCCTAGACTTATCCTTCATACATTCTATGTTCTGATTATTAACAAATGCTTGCAGCTGTTTCTTCTCATTTTGAGTCATGCCATATCAGCAAATGAAGGTCCCAGAAGCTTTACTCTCTATCCATATCATTAAAGTCAGTTTTGCTTTGAGCAGTCAGCTCTTCCCCAATCACATTTTGAGCACCTTCCAGCCTGAGAGGCTCATCTTCCAGCTCTATATTAGACACTGTTTCACTGTTATTCATAAAGTTTTCCGGTAATGTAACAGACAGTGTTTCATTACTATTCACAAGGTTTTGAGGATAATTTTTTCAGAAGTAGATAGCCCAATCCCTTTTCCCAGTCTGTCTTAATCTGGAAGCTCTACTGAAACCTGTCCACCATGGGTGACCCGCTGGTATTTGAAATACCAGTAGCATGGCTTCCAGCCTCATAGCAACATGCAAACCACCACGGTATGACAAGCTAACAGACTGAGTGGTGGAGAAAACCCTACAGAGCAGTTCCACTTTGTCTTATAGGGTTGCTATGAGTCAGAATTAACTTGACAGCACACAACAGTATTTTGACAGAACCCATCCCCCCAGCTTCCTGCCACCAGAACCATCTCATCACGTTCAACAGATAATGGACCCTTCTTCTTCTCTGACGCAGCAGCCCCCTGGAAGCCCCTCACTGTGACCATCTCAATTAGGTAGGCTTCTCCCATGGGTGTGAAGTTGATTTCAACTTCTCCTCCAAAAGGCCCTGTTGTCTGGAACTCAGGAATGGCTAGACAGGACAGGAATGGGCCCATGGGGATGGTATTTAGATTGACCAAAGGTGGCCAAATAGGAGTTGGTGGTTTAGTTTGGGTCAGGTTAAGGTTCATGTGTGTGGCTTCCAGATGTGTTAGAAGTGACTCAAAACAACTCACTAAGGAAGTTCTGGGGGATCTTTTTATCTCTTATTCCATTCCAGCTTCAAAAACCTTGGTGAGGCTTTAGTTGAATTTGTGATCCTCTTTCCATCTCTAGTGGTTGTAGAGATGGCTTTGAGAAATACAGGGGGCGGGACATTAAGGAAGAACAGATGCCTTCATCTGTCTCTAGAACAGCTAGGCCCTAGGTTGGAGGATTCTGGGCAAGAGGAGCTCCGAACGTTGTAGGCAGCAAGGTGACAACACATAGCCTTTCCATTGCAGAGTGATCTGCCACTCAGAGAACGGTCTTAGTCAGATTGGAAAGGACTATGGAGGTGAAGATGCAGGCTAGAAAGGTGTTCTGGTTATCTGGTGCCACTCTGACATACCACAGATGAGATGGCTTGAACAAACAGGAGTTTATTCTCTTACAGTTTTGGAGGCTAGAAGTCTGAGTTCAAAGTGCCAGGCTCTAGGGGCTGGGTGAAAGCCCCTCAAACTTGGGCTTCACCTCTGCCTCTTGCTTCCAGCCCACTGAAGCTAGAGGCATCTCTTCACTCAGGCAGCTACTGGCTGCTGAGGCTCACAAGCCCAAGGTTGACAAATAGAATGGCATGGTCCAGATGTTACCAAACAACACGGCAGTCATTGATTCAAGTCCATTGAAAGTCCCAGCGTCAGCAGAGCATGGCAGGCTGCTGAGTAACGATGTGGCTACATGCAGGGTTCAAGTATGCTGTAAGCTAGAGGCCATCCCCAAGGCTTCTCCTTTTGTACAGTAGATCTCACCATGGAATTGATTGCCAATCTCACCATGGGGAATAACTACATCCAGCTGCCCAGCCACTCAACCAGGCCTTGCCAAGTTGACACACAAACTTAACTACCACAGAAGGAGAGATATGGGGTGAGGGGTTGATGTTTTGTTTTTCTCCCCTTCACATTCCTGGTTCCATCACCTCCTCCGGAGTTTCCATTACAGAGGTTTGGGATGGAGGCTGGAAATATGCATTTTTAATAACCTCCTAGGTGATTCTGATGCTGGTATTGGAAGGGATGCTGGTGATTCTGATGCTGGTTTTGAGAAGCATTGACACAGAGTTTAAGGAAGGAGTCTTTTTTGTTGTGACCTGGGTTTTATTTCTAGAACCCTAGAATTTAGTTGTTGTTTTGTTATTAGGTGTTGTTGAGTTGGATCAAACTCTTAGTAACTCTATGTACAAAAGAATAAAACACTGCCCAGTCCTGCACCATCCTCAAAATCTTTGCTATGCTTGAGCTCATAGTTGTAGCCACTGTGTCAATCCATCTCGTTCTACTTTACCAAGCATGATAGTATTCTCTAGGGACTGGTCCCTTCTGACAACACAACCAAAGTATGTGAGATGAAGTCTAGCCATTCTCATTTCTAAGAAAATGGCTGTATTTCTTCCCTGACAGATTTGGAATTTAGCAGACATTCTTTAAAACACTTATGACCAGATGAAAAAGTTGGCATTGCACAAGTAATTTAACAACTTCTGAGCCTTAATATCTTCATTCGTAAGGAAATAAGTATGATGCCTTCTGATAGTGTTGCTGGAGAGATTAAATACCTGATAAATGTTTATTGTATAAGACGTGTGCCATCGTAAACATGCAATACTGTGGGCCACTTATTATTATTATTGCCATTACTAGAGTTTTAGACAGTCTTGTGGGACTGGAGAAGGCTTCAAGGGTGAGATAACTTTATAACTAAGCACTGAAGGATCTGTGGATCAATCAAGAAATAATAACAATTTATATAAATTCTTTCAGATAATAGAAGAGAAAGGAATACAAGTTTGATCTTGTTTTAGTTTTTGATATAAAAATCAAAGACTTTGTAAGAAAAAAAGTCTAGAGACTGATATCTTTCATTGACATAGATTCAAAAATTCTTAACAAAAATGAGCAAATTGAATCCAGAAATATGTAAACTATATATTACAAACACACACACAACACACATACATGCATACACACACACACACACACACACACACACACACATATATATATATATATATATATATATATAGGAGCTCTGGTAGCATAGTGGCTAAGACACATGCCTGCTAACCAGGTGGCTGGCGGTTCAAACCCACCAGCCACTCCTCAGAAGGAAGGTTGGGCAATCCTACTTCCGTAGTAATACTGCCTTGGAAAGCCAAGGAGGGGTCACTATGAGTCGGGTTTGACTCGACGGCACATAACAACAACAACATATATATAT